TCCACGTGTCTATGGATCGTAATATCGTTGATCTCTACACAAAATCTTATACATTGTATGATTTATTCTGCGCGGTAAAAGCAGGGATTTTCCGCTGCCACCTCGGCATTCTTTGTACCACGGACATAGATCATCTTTTCTTGCATTAACGTTACGGTGATTAGAGATAATTGGCAAGCTCGGTTGCAAGCTTCCAAATAACTATCGCAGGAATAATCGCGATTAGTAACTTATATCTGAGGTTCTTCATTGCATTTGCTAAGCATTTTTTTAAGCTACGAATGTCTTTCGCTTTAACTCTTTTCCAATTTTACTTTAGTTTTTAGTGGAAAACTAAAGTTAATCGAGAGTGCTTACCGCTGTAATTACGTTGCTCCAAATTCTGAGGTAAGGCGGGTATCATTTGTCCAGGCATCAGTTTGTTCCTCTCCATCGAGGATAACGGATCCGTGAGGGCTTTAGCGCAAGCAAGATCTCCATTTTTGCAGGCCAGATGAAGGGCTGTATTTCCATGGAAATTCCTTAGAGATAAATCTGCGCCTGCTAAAATCAATCGCCTGACGATCAACGGCTGGTGCGTTAACACAGCCAGGTGCAAGGGTGATTGCCAATCGTAGTTAATGATGTCCAATAGGCACGGGTCAGGAGCCATCCTTATTAAACAAAACGCAGCCTCCATAAAGCCCTGCACGATCGCGATGTGTAGTTGCCTGTATAGATAAAAAATACGTTACACAAGAAGAAGGGGCAAATTTGATCTTACTTGGCACTTACAATTAGCATTATCTATTAATTTTTAACATTGGAGTATTTATTTGCGAATCTAATTCTTGAAAATATTTTTCTCAGTATCAACGAGTCCGAGCCAGTCATGCGTACTATAGCGCACGTATAGGTCATTCCACTTATACGCCAACGATATGTGGTCAAATTGATGTATGCTATATATTCGTAAAAAAAAAAGAAAACAAAACTAAAAGCAAGTTGCCATATTAAAGCGAGAGATGGCTTTCTCATGTCGATTCTGTAGATTAGTGTAGGTAATGAGCCAGTAAAAAAAAAAGAAGAAAAAAATTGATTCGATGTTGGATCGATCAATCATTTCTAATTGGTATATAAATTATAAATTTTGCATTTATATGCCAAAATTCGCGGGACTAATATGACAATATATCTACGCTTTTTGAGAGTTATTCTAATTAAGTATTTCTCCCACGGTATTATATTGCTGCCACGTTGGATCGGATAGCATACAGTATAACATTTAACTCTGAACCTGGACAGTCTAGACCCGTTGACCGCGATCACAAACTCGCTCTAAACCGTTAACAGAATTGCGCGCGGACTAATGGATTTACAAAGTCGGTAAGACAAAGAGACGAAGAGTCTAGGCTAAGCTATAATTAACAGAATGTTTATCAAATGAAAGAAAAAGGATACTTTATGTATTTGTTTTAATTATCCAAATGTACATCACAATATTATCACTTCTTTATCCAAACTCCAAAAAAGAATTTCATTAATTATCCACTCAAAGAAAACTTGAAAGCATTTTTTTTGTAACGTTAAACAGACTGTAAATTCCCCCCCCCCCCCCCACCTTCAATCTATAAATGTATAATTCCAATTAGCTGTCAGGCCTGAAAATTTATACTTTATAGTGACACATATGATACTTTCAGCACTGTCAGTGAACAATGAAAAGCATTACTTGGGCATATTGGCTATATAAAAAATTTAATAATATAATTTAATTTTGAAGAAATTCAGGCAATTTCTTTAGGAAAGGGTAGACTTTTGACTGTTAAGAGAGGCTGATTTCACATCGTTTCACATTGAAGAAAACCAATAGCAAGTCGACAAGTTATCCACCACTGAAAAAAGTAAATAAACGAAAGAGACAAAACAATTGCCACTCACGTGTCACCATCGTCGTCTTGCGTGTAGTACAATTGCCAGGGTTCCTCGTTATTAATTGTGCGTTCTTCATCACTATCCAGCTGATGACGCTTCTCGGTAGACTTGGTGTCATCTTTGTTATCCCGCGTCACGGGTAATAGTTCGGGAGTCGTCGACTCGGTCTGGATCAGTTTGCCCTTAGCGGCGAGCGGGTTCAGTTTGACCTGCTTCAGGCTGAGCTGGCTCAGAGTCTCGGTGAGTTCGAGGTCCACGCCACTGTCGATCGCCCTCATTGGCGATTCTTCAACGGCGATCGCCGCCGCCGACGATGATGAGGATGCCGCTGTAACCTGTCTCTCCTGCTTCACCCCCTCCCCCTGCTCCCACTCCTCCTGCGAGTGCAGCAACCCCGAATCGCCGCTAATCTCGCCGCTGAACTGCAGATTGCCGCCTGACAGAAATCCGGAATCGACGTTGCCCGCTTCGTCCTCATCGTATTTGCAACCGCCAACGACAACGTCGTCGTCGTCGTCGTCGTCGTCGTCGTCGTCGTCGTCGTCGTCGTCGTCGTCTTCGTCGTCGTCGTCGTTATTATACTTTTGCCGGCGCTGTTCCTTCTTGTCGTCCTCTGTAACACATTCCTCCATCTGGGTGCTTTTGCGATGCCACATTTTTTTTCTTTCGAGTCGTGCCTTCAAGATTCAGAGACAATCGTCTTCTGGCTTTCGCTCGCTCTCTAGCAATAGCAGAACGTTTACTATAGACACCTGTCTCAAATCGCTGATCAGTGATGGTATGAATATAGTGTATTGTGAAACGAAGGGAAGAAAGACGGCGGCGAGTAACAAGTGACGAAATGCGACTCTAAAGACCAGGGTCGTTTATCCTAGCTCGCGGCCGAACTAGGTATCGTCGAGGCGCGGGAAGAGAGTGGAAAAGAAAGTTGCCACGAGGACGGTTTTCGTTCGTCAAGTGCGAACTGTTGTGTGAGGATCGTTACGCGACTGGAGTACTGCGGCTATGCTACAGGTGTATAGCACCTTCGACACCGACTTCCGTCCGCACCGGTCAAGTCGTCCTCTTTCCGCTTCCGTTCGTTCGTTCGTTCGTTCGTTCGTTCGTTCGTCCGTTTGTTCGTTCACGTCGACGCGATCCTTCTCTTGCTCCTCTTTCCTCGACGACGCGACGTAACGTAACAGCTGTGTCCTGCTCACAGTGCTCACTTGACTGTGCCCCGCACTTTGCTCTGCTCCGCTCCGTCCGCTCCTCCCTCCCCCGTGACTCTCTGCTCGCTCGCGCACGTCCGACTTTCTAAGCTCGTTCTACTTCATTCCTCGCGCCTTTCACCGAGCCACTAAACGCTCTCTCGATGACTCTTCAGGCGAATCCTTTTTATCTATCTCAAGAGAAACCAGATGGAAAGTATTGGCCTTTATCGTATGATTCGCGTGATGCGCGATCGCAAATGAATCCTATCGTTTCGTGCTCTCAGAACGAACTGATCAAACTGAAAGTTGTTGCTAAACTGGCAGTGTTTCTCGCGCATGCGCGTCCGAACCGAACGCGCGATCAGAGACGTATATGGAACTTTTTTTCTTTTGAACCGCCGCGAATCCTAGATTGTTTCTCTTCTTCAAGTCTTATGGTAATTCTACAATGTGCTGTTTGTCTTTTTGATCAAAAGAAAGGTAGAATTACCATTAATCACACGATGTTAGATGTTAGAAATCGAGATAGAACGAACAAATCACATTTGAACAACATTTTATTCGGTCACAATGCGATTGGTCGGTTCTTTCTCCGTCCAGATTTCGGATCGTTTACATAATAATACTAGACGATCATTGTTTTTTTTTTTTTTTTTTATAAAAACTTCTTTAATAATTACCAACTCTTTAAATATTACATAGGACAGGGTCTGTGTGACTGCAGTTGCACCCTGCATGGGATTATATCTTCAGGACTTAAAATAAAATTCGTAGAGTGAAACTTTGTATCCACAGTGCTAGAAATCGAGAAATCCGAGGAAAAAAGGATCGTCCGTCGACTTCTCATCTCGTAAGGTACCTTTAACTGCTCGAACTAGACACTTGACTGAAATCACATGCGCATGCGCATCGAAGGAAGATGGCCTTTTAGCAACGCGGAGCGGTAATTCCTGAGTGAACAGACACAACGGAGTAGGGGCGGAAATGGCGGGATGGGAAAACCCATCGGGCAGGGCAGGACAGCTGAGCTGCGTGTGGCTGCGTGACTGTCTGCAATGTAACCATTACGCGAGATATACGAATTCTCATTCTACAGTGAAGGCAGCGAAAAAAACGATTTGCGCGACAATATTTCGCGTAAAATTAATGTACGGAGCGTTAATTCTGTATACAGATTTCCGATTAATCTATTAGCGTAATAACATTGACAATAATATTGTAATGCTGATAACACTATACTTAAAAGAGAGCCCACTTCTGATTAACTAGCTTTCATTTCTATTTATTTTAGAACGCGCTCTTGTAATCGCAGCTGGTAAAGAATCGAATGGTGTTAAAGACTCAGGTATTTAAAGGGAGTATCCACTGACTCTGAGTATTGTTTACATCCTTTGCGGTTGCGTGAAATTTTTCTGTATCTTTTAGCTGGTTTTTATTACAGATAAAACGGTCGGACTGCGAAGAAAAATTCGACATAAGGAAATTAATATGTCCCGCTTATATACGTACAGTTTGCGTGAAACGAGGATGAAACAGTATGTTGCGTGTGTTGAGCCTTGAACCTTAACGTTGGATTACTCCGGATCTACAATAGAGTTTTTATCTACAATTAGTAGAGTTTTTAAGCCATAAAAGAAATGGATAATCGATTATTCTCGTGTCGACTGTAATAGTTAATTTCTTAGGGCTTAAAATATGTAGCTATTGTAGATCCCGGATTAATCGTAAAACCTATAAGGGCGATATTTATAGTGATCCATATGATTTTATATTCAAACTTCAAATTGCGATTATTAATTGGCGCGTTTCAAAAAGTGAAAGAGAAGTCGATATAATCACGCAGTGATTGATTTCTATATATTTTACGTTACTTAAGATAATTGGATTTGAAATAAGAACAGATTATGAATATCGACTATAGTTTACCAATTTCTCTCAAATTTCTACGTAACTTTGCAGAAAAACTTAATAAGTTGATAACATTTGTTGAAATCCGCTATGCTAATCAATTAAAATTCATTAATTTGCAAAATTGAATAAGAAGTAGATAGAATGTCTATTTTTAAATTTAGCTCTTTTCTAAAATCTTTTCCTATATGTATAGTATAGAAGATTTATCTTTAATTACAAGTTTAGGCGAGAGGATATAGTAACGTATGTATATTACAATACTTCTGAAGTGATTTTTCAAGAAGCCATGCACGTACAGCACTCTCAACGTCGAGAGATTCGCATCTTTACGTGCTTCCCAGTTCGAAATGATAATGAAACCGACATCGAATTGATGTTGATTTGACGTCGATTCTGTTGTCATTTCTCACTGGATTAATATGCGTCACTCACACACACACACACACACACACACACACATCTAGATGTGTAAAAATATGTATTATGTAAGAGTAAGATGCGTGATAGGAGCTCCTAATCTTACTCTTACGTAATAATATATATTTTTCACCATACAGGCGCATGCTCACGTCCCATTATTTCCACAATACTTATTTCCTTCATAGTAATATTCATGCATACTTAAGTACTCTGTTATACCTATAGGTATACATATATATATATATATATAATAGTGTTTCCCGCGCTATTTACATTTTGAAGGAATACGCATACAGAGCGCGCATCGATTCCGCGCGGAAAAGCTCCGTAGAAGCTTTAAAGCTCGTTCATGTTTCAGAGATTATAAATACTGCGAATTGAAAATTCGAATTCAACCAATCGGAAAATTTTAAATGACACAGATTAAACTTACCTAACTGATTGGATTCTAATCTTTAATTCACATTCTTAATTCAATTGTCTGTAGATACGAGATTTTTGAAAAGAATTATACATACTCGTAAACGATATCCACCTACCACCTTCTTCACTTTTTGTTATCGATTAGATCTTGTAACGTTTTAAGTTAAGATGCGTGTATGGGCGTTGTCTACTCACAAATTAGATTGTAAGTTATCAGGTGCACAAAGTGCCGTAAAATTGTCTATCTATGTATATCAAGCTTTGATAGAGTTTCTTTTTCTCATAAATAAATGTTTCGCCGCTTTTTTTTTCTTCTTCTCTTAATTGTAGAAATTAATCACATATAGAAAATTGCCCTAAAAACAATAATGATAACCAAGTGGAATTAAAAAATGCTTATAGGTAAAAGATAAAGTTTGTTGCTTACAAACAAATAACAATATATATACCTATTGAAGAAATTACACATGATAACATAATATAGTGAATGTTATCACTATAATTGTAAATTAATATAATTATTACTTTATTATAAGTTCATAAAAATTTTATTAGAGTTGTGATAAATGAAAAGTGAAGTAATATTCTAAATAAATGTCGCATGTATTGAAATATGGTTTCTTGGCAAAGATGTTGCGATAAAATTTTTTGCAATTTTTGTAATAATATTTCAATGAAACATATACAATATTCAAATTAAAAATGATTTCAATTATTAAATATTATTTCTAATTGTTGTAAACTATTATATGTAAGAATTAATTATTGCTAATTAGTTTACAATTGTAATAATTGAATCTTGTAATCTCGCGCGACCGAGAGATGATAAAAAAAAAGAGGAATTAAATTAAAAATTAATTTAATTTAACGCGCGCGCTAACGATTTTGCACATGTATGTACCTTTATCTCGCAGATTTCCAAAGATTTAATGGATTTAATTCTCTCATGTGTGCAGAGCAGAGCCGGCAGACTCGCACTATAGACACGATTTATCACACGCCAATCGATGCGACTTTCATATCTGTCACCACATGTGGTGGACTACTTTCTTCGCGGTTCCTCCGATGGGGAAGAGCCTAGAAGAGTGTTACGACGCGACGCGACAAACTCACCGGAAATTCCAGCGGCATTTCCTAACCGAAAGAGCCTTTGCGGTGATGCACAATAGAATAAACGTTCTACGGTCGTTTACTGCACGTACTGGGAAATCGATTCGTCGCGTTGCCGCGCGCCACCACCATCAAATGTATGACCTCAATGCGTACAAAAAAGAGCTCTCCTATCACAAAGGTTTCACATGGGTTTTCCCGTTATTATGTAGAAGCTACACATTAGAATTTTTTTAAAATGCGGCGTTTATATTATCTACACTGAGAAAAAAAATCTTAATACAAAGAAAATTTACTTAATACAAAAAAAGTTTACTTGTTAATTTTCTTTGTATTAAATTTTTTTTCCTCAGTGTATATTATTTTCAAGTCACAATCCAAACAAAATACCCTATCCTAGCTTCTTTTTTCTTATACACCTTTTTTTCGGATTGTTTAAATCTTGCTGATATATTGTAATATACAAATCAGTAGTAACTCTGATAGCAAAATGTTAGCAATTTAGGGCTAAATTGCCAGCAAACTCAATCAGATTTTTACTACAAAATCATTGCCATCTGTATCCGCCGCTATATGGATTTATCGACAAAGCCTGTTTTAAAACAGACTATGCCAGCAGATTAGTAGCGCAGAAACCGAGAAAAGTCTGCTCGAATCAGATTCTACTCTCAATCTGCTCTCAGTCTGCCTATGCAGGATTTTGTTCGGTTTCTACCACCAATCTGTTAGCATATAGCATGTTGAACAAGATTTTGTCATATTTCTTATGATGGATTTGACAGTAATTTGCTGATAACGTCAGATATAATACAAACTCTGTATACGCAATTTGTTGCCTTTCTGCAATAAAAAAATTGGTAGCAAGTTATGCTATCAGGGAAACTGTTGCTGATAAAATTTTTTTTTAATAATTATATTTTTTATACAGTAGATTTGTACCCAGCAAACATTAAGGAATAGTACCATATATGTACATATAACAACATAATTGGATAATTTCATTAATTTCCCATTCAAGTTAATACATCCATATATAGAGTATATATAAAACACGTATATATGTTGTACATAATAGTAATATATGTATATATATATATATATTATTGAATGAAAAATTATAACTAACAGTAACAGTTATGCTAATTAGTGCGTTTGTTGAGATATACATATAATGAAAAGATAATAATATATATTTTCGAAAAATATTATATCGCATGTTCCGGAATTAATACAGTTCCTTAGAAAATTAAATAGGATTTATCAGAATTTATCTTAGTATTTACAAAAATTCAGTTGTCAAAGGGCAAATAAGAGTACGGCGTAGTTGTTATTACGCAAATCCAATAAAAATTGATCGATTTTCTCAAAATCAATTTATTCAAAATTTCGAACGTTTCATCAAGCAATGTGATGTGACATACCTGACAAGGATTAACTATTATGTTGAATTGATGATTTAATTAATTAATTGTATTAGCTGAGGATGGTACAAAATAAATCGGAACGTTCGAAATTTTGAATAAATTGATTTTGAGGAAATCGATCAATTTTTATTGGATTTGCGTAATAACAACTACTCTCATTTGCCCTTTGACAACTGAATTTTTGGAATTTCAAGAGTCCAGAAAAGTAAACTTTAGTATTTATAATTTATCTTAAAGGATATTGAAAATTAGGTTTCTTTTCGTAATTAATTTAATTAAAAATTCATAATTAATATTTAAATTATCTTGTTTGAAAAATAAGCTCTTCACATTATTTCATATCTTACATTCGGCAATTATTTAACCACTTTAACTTTTTCGAGAAATAAGAGATCGATCGCGAACACATGGGGGAATTTGACGTGCAAACAGTGTAGAAGAAAAGCTTCTCAATAAACGCGATAAAATATCTTTGTATGATATTTACTATCATTCAATATCACTATCCATTATAATGGCATTAAGATAAGATAACGACGGATATAATTATAGATAATTCGGAACAGAGATGGCGACTTTTTTGGTGTGTGAGTAATTCCTTGTTATATGTATACAGGTAGATCTCGCCGACGTCAATGCCCCGATTATCTGGGGAAAACCTACGATAGTGATAGAAAATGTAAATAACTGACGATACTGTTGCACATATCGGAATTAATGTAACACCGCAAAGTATCTTATAACAGTTAACTAAGATCTTAATCCCTAAAAGTGTAGTTTTTTTTTCTGAGATTTTTCTTAGAAATATAACAAAAAATATTAAAAATTCATGATGAAACGATTTCTGTTTATTATAATCACTCCTTCTCCCTCCCTAATTACATTTAGAGTTAATTCGCAATTAGTTCCTCATTGAGAAGTATATACCTATGCTAATAATGAAATTCGACTACACACTGCATGTATTGTTAGTGCACTTACGCCGTTTTGTACACAAATTGGCGTAAAGATATAGGTATGTTTAATATAAATTTTCAATCAAATGGCATATTTTAACAAAATAGAGTACAAATTAGTTCGGTCCGTTTTCCAAAAGATGATCGCGTCCAAAGACGAGTCATTTTTACGAGATGGAATGAAAAAGTCGCAATCAATGACAAAATTAGTTGCAAATTCACTCCAATATCTATCATTAAACGTCCATACTTAAATGGAGAAATTATGTGTTATTATTATTACTATTATTATTTATATTAATCTATATATCACATTTAGAATGTGTGCGGTAACAATAATGATTACTTATTAAAGATTAAAGATGTAATGGAAGAAATTAAAAAAGTACAAAAACTAGGAATATGGAAATACTAATAGTAAAATATAAAATTGAAAATCTGTGTTTCATTTTGCACTAGAAAATGTTTTACTTCTTAAATGCAATAATCACACACATGTGTGTTTCTTTTTACATTAAGCTGCATATGATGACAGTATTTGCAGCACTAAAATACATACAAGTGTATAAAAGAAATGATAAAAATAGGGAGAAACCTTTTTTAATTATACAATTATATCACGCATTATGGTGCTCGAGTATACCTTGTCTAATAAGTGGTTCGCATGTAGCTCTTGGTAATAGATGATATGTATTTTTTTTTAATGTAATGACCTCACCATCGTCGAGTTCTAGTTTGCCGAAATCACTTAGACACTTCACCTAAAGGAAATTATCATTTAATTATTTTAATATAATACATACATACTCGTAATCACTCGTAAACACAAAATCCATATAGAAATTTAGTATTATATATGTATTATACATATCAAAAAATAGCTTGTTATTTTCTATATATATATATATATTTTTTTTAAATAAACTTTTTTAAATTGAATTTTATTTCTATAAAACATGTATCTAAAATGTATCCATAATCCATGATTCATAAATAAGAATACTTATAAAGCAAGAAGCAAACACATATATATATATATATATACACATGTAAAAATAATTTTTTTTTCTTTCAACGTTGAATAACTCAAAATAAAGATTCCCTCTTTCGAATAATGTAATCCGTATTTGTGTACAATTTTTAGTTCGCACCGTAAAACTCCATAAAAACTTTTAAGAAATTCTGATGCATCTTCATTAATGTTTGCGTAACTTCATAAAATTTCAGTAAAACCGTTTTTTAAAGTAGCGATTTAAAAAGTAGAGATTTTAAGCTGTAAAATACTTTTTTAAATATCTCGATACGATAATTTTTGACGAAGTTATTCTATTTTAAAACTTGCCTATTTTTGCAGAGTGGAATAGGTAATCCTTTAATTTTATTAAGTAGTGTATATATATGTACACACACACACGCACACGCACACGCACACACACATATACACACACAGGATGTCCCATAATTCACCTGACAGATTTCGTGGACAGGTAGAGCGGACTATAAACTAATGTAAGACGGAAAGTTCTTTTACATTAATATCTCGTTAACTATTGTAAAAATTGTAAAATGGTACTTTCCGTTTAGTCCGCTCTATCTGTCCATGAAATCTGTCAGGTGAATTATGAAACACCTTGTACGTGTGTGTGTGTGTGTGTGTGTGTGTGTGTGTGTGAGAGAGAGAGAGAGAAATAGGAAAAAAATATTTACTTCGACATAGAGTGTTTTTGGAGGGCTCATATTCATAGTCAGATTTAATCCATGATCATCGCCTATTGATCGCATGTAGGTGGCCAAAGATTTATTATAGTTCTGAAACCATTGCACCTCTGCATTCAGCAAGTTGGCAGTTATCTCAGTCGGTAGGATGCTGCCCAATTCCCAGCGCAACTGCCGTAATCGTCTAATCCGATGATATAGATATGCCAGTACACATCTTTTATTCCTGAGAAGAGCCGTATGGCGAAAATGTACCGACGATAACAACGTGTTGTTCCCTTCGTTCTGTATTGCGTTGCTGAAACATTTGCGGAAAGTCTGAAACATTTGTGAAAAGTGGGGAAAATTTATTAAGATCGAAATCACAAGTAAAATGTATTATAGTTTTTCCTGTTATATTACAAGATAGTTAAATATTACTTCATTAAATTATACTGTCATCATACATTGTTATTATACATAATATTTTATTCTCTGTTTGATTTTACTTTCCATATAATTTGTTAATAATTGTAGACTTTTATGAACGCCATATAACGTATAATATACCTGTCCACCAAATTGGCTTCATAAAGTGTTTGCATCTCTTCAAAAACTAGTCGCATCACCTGTTCCTGCAAAATAAAAAAACATTATATCAAATTTTAATAATAATAATTCATAATACTTATATAATGCTTACATTAAATGGTCGAATATCTTCATGCATATCAAGCTCTGTTATGAGCTTAACAGCTTCTTTCCCAAACATATCTGTAAAATAAAAAAAATTTTTTATAAAATTTGTTTGCCGCTATTTAATATTTTAACTTGACGACTTTCCTGTCTTTATATAATTGAAAAAACACACTTAATTATTATCAATTTGTTAAAGATTTTAAGTGAATAAGTATAAAACAGTATTATTATTACATCATTATTAAATATGAGAAGTATCACTTATGTATAATCAAAATTAGATATTGAACTTATATGTGTATATACACACATAAATATTGATTCAAATATATATTGATCCAAATGTACTGATTAATCTCAGTCAGAAATATGACCATGCGCCGATTACTTTCAAATTATTATTGAAAGTGTATTATTATTATTAAAAAAACTATAGTAGGTTTCTATAATTAAAATATAAAAAATGAATTCAAACAAAAGTGCGTTCCGTTCTGCGCTTATACAACGCTTGTTAGCAATACTTAAGCGGGGAGCACAGACTTTTGCATAACGCATAAAGCAAATGCATAAGGAATTTCATTGGTCCATTTTCTTATGCATGAGTCAATGGACCAATCAAATTCTTTATGTATATGGTTTATGCGTTATGCAAAAGTCTGTGCTCCCCGCTTTATTCTTGTTTAATATTTGACAAACAACAAGGTTGTACATAAATGCTTACAAGGCACAAGCATGAAAATGAAATGCACCTCTCAGCTTGACTTGTATATAAATAGTTACATAAAAATAACTTTTACAGACTATAAATGCATTTAAATTTAAATATTAACTGCGTTATCACGTGCATACGCATGTTATAACAAGCCAGCACAACATAACCTTCAAAATATTCTTCTCTGCTAATAGCGTATTATATTCATCAACATATTATATTAAAGAGACTTTTAATTTACGCATTTAATACAAATTAATAAGTTGAAAAATTCTTTGCTTTTATTAAAATCGATGTCATAACGGTTACCGTAATTCACAAGTGACGATGCGCGAAAGAACAAAACTCACAATGCTCTGAATGCTGGCAATTCTATAGACACTAGCACCTCTGAACTTTTTAAGGAGCATTATTGCATTTTCCTTTCCTTTGTACTGTCGGTAAAAACTTTTATTAGACAGTCATACCGACAATGATACATATATTAAAGATCCGATCAGGAAGAACGATGATTATCGATAATTAAGGAGGTCCTTATCTTAAAGCGTTTTCGATTAACTGACTTGACCCGACTAATAAGAATCGGGTTGACTTCGATCACATATGTTCGATTTGGTTCGATTTGAGGTGCCATCCTGCACAGTGTTATGGCGGAAGAGTTTTGTCTTGTCGTCCTCTGCGTAACCTTAAAAATTGAGTCGAGTCGAATCAGTTAATCGAAAATGCTATGAGAAGGTTAAAAAAATCTATTATTTTTTCTTTTGTTTTTTCTCTTTTTTTTTTCTCATAAAAACGCGCGCACATGTTAAAAAAACGGTTTGCACTTAAGAACACTATACCTATTATAGTTTTTATTTGCATATAACGCATTTTACTTCACTATTAAAAAATCACTTATACCTACAGTTTCCATATACAAATGTCATTTTATAGATATACTCGTATACATCTATATTCATATATATACAAAGATTTTTCACAATTAGTTATTAGAGCATCAGAAGAAAATATATTGCTTATATATACAAAAGTTTTTTGCAATTAAAGTAGAACAACACAATAAACATCAAAGTGATGTTAAATTAAATCGTGAAAAAATGACTTTTAGTGAACATTTTGGAGCCATATTTTAAATTGGTAATTAATTTAATATATATGTCATGACAATTTTTTATTCCGTTTGGATATATATGTTTTTCAATTTATTGCATATGGTGTAAAGTTTATAAACATTGTTAAAACACTTTATGCAACATGCGTATTACCGAATCCTTTATATATAACATTTCATGTATTGGATTCTTAAAAAATTGTTGCATATATAAAAGATTGAAATATTTCTGAAAATCAGTGCTGCATATAGGATGTTTCGAAATGAAAATGAATTAATTAATTTGATCCATGCAGGGTGTTCCCACGTACACCTAACTCGACCATGCATTTGAAATACCTCGCTTTTGGTTTTTATGATGATAGGAAAAAGTGTTTCAGAAGAAAATGGAATGGTTTCGAGGAAGACGTATTTCGGTCAAGTTGTTTTTCTTCTAGGTGGAAGCGCTAATAAAAAGATATGTGTGTGAAGATCACCTCTACTTACAATTAGAAGAAAGAGACAACTTGATGGAAATACACGTGTCTCCCTCGAAACCATTTCATTATTTTCTTCTGAGACATTTTTTCCTATATCAAGCCAAGCGAGATATTTTAGATGGTCGCGATGGGATATCCTGTATAACGCAACAATTGCTTATTATATGATGGAATTTAACTTAATAATTTTCGAGTATAAAAAACGTGAGCATCTCACTGCCGTCCGTTCCGAAAAATTCATTGGAAATATGACTCGCATGATCTGGCGAGTCATATCGTTACGTAGCAACCAAGAAATGGATAGAAATCAACAACCAACTAAGATTGTGCAGGCTGCTACTATTGATGTGTAAGTCGCGTTTTAATTATTGGACCTAGTATCGTCCCAATTTATCAAGAAAAATCGATCGTGGCACACAATTGATTTAATTCCAGCGAGGATCTTAATTTAAACACGATGTGGCGAGACACGTTTCATCGCGAACTTCGGCCGGCGAATTAAATCTTGATTTTTATTTCAACAGTCAAACTGTTTTACTTTGAAAAACGTGCAATTTTAAAGGGAAGAACGCCAATAACGCTTTTGTCCTTGACTTATACTTAACATCGATTATGCATGAATTCGGATTAAATAGTATCCTTTCGTGAGAGTTGAATCAGAACGACTCCGTGTGTGCCCTCTGTAATTTTCATCTTGTATATATATATATATATAAACTTCAACTATTAATCATATCTGTTATTATGTGTCCGTTATTCAGATACATAATGTATATAGCTATCTTACGTACTAAAATAATATTTTTTAATGCAACTATATTTTATTATAACTATATTATATTTATTTAAACCATAAATCGGGCCTTTATAAGAGTCGTACTCTGATTGCAAGTGCATAAAATAAAAAGTAGAGAAAATTGATGAAGCTATTAATTGATTTTATATATATAATCTGATATTGAAATTTGAAAACATCAAGTTAAGCGATAAATTTGAAAGGATCTCTCTCTCTCTCGCGCGCGCGTAAAAATCACAATATGATCTTAATGTAAGTTTTTAAAAAAAATAAAACTAATAATTTAACGTATAATACCTTGAAAATAATATTTTTCATTTTCCAATAATTATAGACTATTAAAAATAAAATCTGCTTCTATTTTTAAAGAAAACAATAAAACAATATTGAATCGCGATAGATTTCACGACTCGAAACAATTGAAATATTAGTGTTGTTCTTTCTTAAAAAAAAAATGAATTTTTTTTCTCTTAAGGCATATTCGGATTATAATAGGGAGTTTTTGCTAATACTGTTTATCCCAGATACGGTGAACGCTATAAAGTCACGTTACCTTTTTCATCACATCTAATTAAGAAAAGAATAACGTGACTTTAGCGTTCACCGTATCTGGGAGATAAACGGTATTGCAAAAACTCCCTAATGTCTCATGACAGGCGATTACGATACAAGAACTTTTATACATTCGTGAAAATTCCCGAATTTTCTGCACCGCATATAATTATCTGTGCGTGTATTTGTATCATGAGATCGTTAATCATTATATTATATCGCGTGCCTACCATGTCGCCGATGTCCCCGTGCAACCAAAAGGAAGTCGAGCCCATGCAAACCGACAGAAAAAGATATGCGATTAATACAGTACTTCTCTTCACCTCGCCGAAGATACTTCAATTGCTCCGAAATCAAATTTCTTGCTTTTTTCTCACGAAAAAAGTTGGCATTTTGTGATTGTGATCGGCGCTTTAATTTCCAGGATGTTGCGCTATAAAAGGGTAGAAAAAGAGAGGGAATCAAGTATTAAAAAAAAGGATTTGACATACACATATAAATTTACATATGACCGTAATGAACAAAATTATAATAATATCAAATATTTTTTTTACATGTGAGAAAGACGTTCAAGATTAATCAAGAGACACAGAGATAATATACTTTTAGTACATACACATGCGCAGTTTCCAGACTTTTATCTTAATATTGAAATTTCTCTCTCTCTCTCTCTCTCTCTCTCTCTCGTGGAGAGAGAGTATACATATACCATACTATATGCAGTGTTGCGCTTCAATAATGAAAAATTATCTAGATATAGATAAGATAAATCACACAAAAATGTATCTTAGATAAGATAAAGATGATTAATTTTACATTAATCTATATCAAAGATGAAATTAAAAACAAAATTTAATTAGATAATTTTTTATTTTATTTTTAAGTAACCATTAGATAGTAAAACGATTTAGGATGCAAAAAATGCGATTTCATATTTTTATAAATCTTTATTTTTTAAGAACAAAAGTTGTTTGAACATTTCGTCTGATAAATGATTTCTACGTGCAAAATAATAATATTTGTTGTCTACAACTATAAAGAGGCGCTCTACTGGCACTGACGATGACAATGATATATTTAAAAATAATTTACTTGATGTGTGGATACAAATTAAGAATATGAATATCTACTTCCTAGATTTGTTTTCTAAATATGGAAGTATGTACTTCAATATATATATCCTTAAATAACTATATGGTTTCGCACTAATCTCAATTTTTTTATACAAAATAATAAACATAAAAATGGCATTGTAAGAGTCAGATAAATATAAGAGATTTTATAAACGACAAATTAAATCATATACCTATTCTAAATTTTATCTATTATAACAATTTTTTTATCTATAGAACGAAAAAAATCTTCATCACTACTACTATACTACTGGAAGTTAATTTCTTATAATACTTTTGTACAATCTTAGATAGTTTGAAAAAGATAACAATTTCTTTTATCTAAGATAAGATAAAGATCATCTATATTCTTTATAATCTAGATAAAGATAAAATAAAACCATTTTTTCATCTATAGATGATTATTTGGATAATTTTATCGAGATAGAAAACACTGTGCATATTCTTGTATTCACTTCGACAGCTTTCCAAAACACTATAATAAAATGTTTTTTTATCAAGTACTTTTTGAGTTATAATGCTAAATGTGCCGGTGATACCATAACTTTCAGGCACTCGAAAAATATTTCATGAAAAAATATTTTATTACAGTATTTTGGAAAGCTCTCTCTCGAGATGTTCTATAAGAATATGCAATGAAAAATGGAGCGTTTCATTTAAAAAAGTTGATGTGATCTTGACCTGACCTTGGCGACGCCACCTCAGGTCAAACGGATGTGATCAGTAAATAGATCTTTTTGAACACTTTACAACTTTTGTCTGAAACACTTTTTTGTAATACTTATTCAGGTATCCCGGCACTTTCCGAACACCCTGTGTATATATATGTGTGCGTGTGTGTGTGTAGTATTACATTATTTCGAGAAGGCTAAAAATTAATGTTATTAATTTATGTCATAAAACAAAATCTGAGGAATCAATTAATTAAATATATTCTCTCAGGGTGGAACAAAGACGACGAGAAGAATGGCGAAGAAAGTGGCACCAGCGGCTTTACAGACGGAAGTTCTTAATGACGAGGAATGGATAAAAGTACTAAAACGGAAGGGTTTAGTAGGCGAGTAATTTTTATGCGAATTCTCTTATAATCCTTATATGAATATTTTTATGATTCGAGCATTACAAAAAGTTATGATTAATGCAATGTCCTTATTCAGCAGTAGTTGACGTGTATTCGGATTGGAGTGGTC